GAACACAAGCAGGGGGAGTGGGAGAGGGAGAAGCAGGCTTCCCACCGAGCGGGAGCCCGATGCGGGGCTCGAATCCAGGACCCTGGGGTCATGACCTGAGCCGAAGGCAGATGCTTAACGACTGAGCCACCCAGGCGCCCCAGTCAAATCTTGCTCTATGGTCTAAATGAGACCAAAGTCCAGTGAAGTTAAAATCGATGATCTGACAAACCACTTCCTTATTGAGTCTGGTTCCTTCCAGAAACTTTCAAGTCTCCACATTGCAAAAAGCATTTAATCAAAGAGAATATACAAGGTTCTTCTGCCCCTTATTAGTTTTTAAGATCTGTTTATAGGAGATTTTAGTACAGCTTCAATGGGACGGAAGAATTTTCTTTAATTTTTTATTAAATAATCATAAGGATGTCTCTAGGATCTCTGTATCTGCAAAAGTCTTATTTTTAGAAATTTAAATATTTGACGGGCCGCCTGAGCGGCTCAGTCGGGTAAGCGTTTGCCTTTGGCTGTGATCCTGATTTCCAGTTCCTGGAATTGAGCGCCCCTCCCCCCCAGGCTTCCCTGCTCAGCAGGGAGTCTGCTTCTCACTCTTTCTTTCTCTCTCTCCCTCCTCCTCCCTATCCCTCGTTTTTTTTCTCTCTCTCTCAAATAGATAAATAAAATCTTTCTTTAAAAAAAATTTAAATATTTGAATTTATCAGTACCTTAATAACTATTGGTAAGTGATGCATCTCAAAGTATGCCTAGCAGATAGTATGTACGCAGTAAATACTTGTTAAATGAGTAAATGAAAATCCATTTTCACTGCTATATAAAATTTCATTGTATAATTGTATGCCAGTTTATTTGTTCTTCTGACAATGGACATTTGAGTTGTTAGAGCTTTTGCTATTAAGACTGGTGTTGCTAAAAATATTATTGTACATATCAACTCTTCACATGTGCAAGAGGTTCTTTTTTTTTTTTTTTTAAAGATTTTATTTATTTATTTGAGACAGAGAGAATGAGAGACAGAG